TCTGTGTCTGTATTTGTGTGTGCGTTTGTCTGTACGTCTGTCTTTTGTTTGCGTGCATTGGCGTATGCATATTTATGTACATATTTGATGTTATAAATTTGCGGATCATGCTTTTGTGTTTTATATACTGTTTTCACATTCTGTCGCACACAGGTAGTAAACCAAAAGTGCTCCGTTTCTCTTCTAACTCAAATCTGAGTCCGAAGAAGCTCAGTACACTGCACAAGCTCTGTAGCACCGGCGAGGATCCTGAAATGCTTTATGCAGTCTTTTAACTCCAAATTTTGCACAGGAAGCGCAACTCTTTTTCATTTTCAACTGCCAAGGGATTTTTTTTTTACATGTGCAACAATGCACACGGGAGTCCGATCTCTATACCCAGAGACCAGGGGGAATTACTACAAGTCCAAGTCCATGTGACAAAATACCAGCCCATAAGGTGGATTAAACCCGGAACCTCTAGCACTCAAGGTGGACACCATGCCTCGAGACCACGCAGCTCCCCATACAAATACATATACACCGTTTTAGGCTTTATATATAAATTACGTTTGCAGCGGGAGAGATTAGGGTTTAACAGTGCCAAATATACGAAGGGACTTTCTGCCTAATGTGTGGAATTTTATTCTGTTTCTCTCTCCCTCTGTGTGTGCATGTTTGGGTGTGTCACTCTACCTGTCCCTCTTCCTATCTATTTCTGCTTGTCTCAATTTCAGTGTATCTCCGTCAAACAGTATTGATATCAATATCTATGTGTCCTTCTGTCCATCCGTCAATTTATCAGTCAATCAATCCGACCAACTCTCTGTTCATCCACTCATGCATCCATCTATACTTACTTCTATCTATACATTTACATCATACCTCCTCCATTCCACCCCTTTTTGAATCCATCCATCAATCATCACTAAAACCCACTTTCTGTCATTCTTTCAGTCTATCACTATTTCGTCTTTAATTTTGACTGTATGACTATTCTCCATCTGTCTCGTTGTCTGTTTACAAGAGGCTAGCCCGAGGTCAGTATTTACAAAATCCCCATCTCTCGTTGGATCTTCACATGTGACGAAATAATAGATCGGCTAGCGTTTAAACATAATAATGTGTCAGTTTTCCCGTGTTTATTAGAGCGCTCATGAAATAATTGTCACTATAAATTGAAGTCATGCTGCAAATCAGCATTAGTAAACAACATTGTGTGTAATTCAGTCCGGCGCATGAGACATTCAAAACGCAAATCACACAATGAATATCAAGACATGCTTACAGACATTCAAAACATGTAGGCACAATATGAATACAAAAGGCATGCCTACAGAGATACAAAAAGAGGTCAAGATGTTTATTTAAAAAAAATGTTGTTGCCCATTCTTTACACGTCGTTGCAGAATTAACTGTATCAATTTGCATAGGGTCTTTTTAAAATCACCATTGATCACAGGCACCACAAGGGCTACGAGACCTCAATGGCAGGGGATACGGAGAAAATATGAGATGACAGACAGGATAAAAACTGTGTACATAAACGTGTTGAACGGTCGTAGACCATGGGGCAGGCCAAGAAGACAGTGGAGAGAAAACACTCACACAGAATACAAACACTTGGTGTCATCAACTGCAAGGAGAAGTCAAACCAGGGAGATGAAAGTATGAGAGGGGGGGGGGCGGGGGAGGGTGATATCTGCAGAACTGAACCTCAAGGTCTCGAAATGTTGCAGAAAATTAAGACAAAAAAGATAGGATCGTAACCGGCATGCCTGAATTACGAAAATCGTTCGCAACGTCTAAGCCCCTGTCGCCGACAAGACAGTTAAACATTGATACACACAGTAGCTTCCACGTGTTTATGTATATCTCAAACATAATTTATATGTTCTATAGTGCTTTTCAAAAGTCATATCCTCACACTTTAACAAATATCTCGAAAACTCCTTTAAAGATCACCACGAATTTCTGCATGTTGCCTTAGACTGCCCTTGTCCCTATGATTTTTAACAGGTTGCATGCCATGTTTCAACAACTTTTTACGAATTGTTACCAAGGTTAGGTTAGTTGCGTATCCTTTACATGACATTGCAGAACCAACCCCAACAGTCCCTAGCTGTTGTTTGGTTTTTCTAGGCAAATATATGTCCAGTAGTTTGCCATTGTCTGGACGGTCGGCTTTCTTGACACCACTGTCGAAACCAAAGCAAGGCGCATTGCCCGCAGCTGGGATCGAACCCGGCATTCCGGCATTTCGTAGCGTTCGCATCGACTTGGCCACAGAGCCGACAGTTATCAAGGTACAGACGTTTAAACTTAGGCAAGACTTCTGCAACGTACTATAATTAGTTAATTACCGATGGCAATGTGAATACTGAAAACCCAGACAGAAACAAAATTTCTCTTCTCAACATGAGGCAGACAAGAATGATAGATAAAAGTCAATCTTGATATCCATCGGCATAATATATATTTATGCTTATAAAAATGTGTGTGACCTATTTTCCTAAAACATTCCCAGATATGTTTAGTATAATTGCAATCGCTTTCTGAGGGGAATATATTCACTGACGCAGTGGGTTACTTCATCTATAAGGGTTTGTAATTGATTTCTTTACCCCCCCCCCCCCCAAAAAAAAAAAAAAAAGCATGTTCCCATCGTATCTTTTCTGTACTGGTCAGTTGGGAACCAACATTATGTGCATCAATATACTGGAAACACTCAAGTTCTGGAACAAGACCAAAGTCCAGAAGTGGACGAAGAGCCAGCGCACATCTACCTCAGTCTACAGCTCGCGAAAGCGAAACAAGCTGGAGAGAAGGAGAAAACCCAGGGAATTGATGACGTTGATTAGAATCTCCTTCTGATAAGAGAACCCAGAACTTTGACCCTTAATTCTCCAGGCGGATCCGATGTCACAAATTATTGTACGTGTCTAACAAGAATCAGCGTCAACCTTCAACCATCCTTCCACTAACTATATAAGGATCTGAAAGAAAATGGTAGACAGAAAAGCTGATTCCTTTCTTGGCACGGATACAAAAACTGGGAAAACATGGCGAACTGACAAGATAGTTTGTGACAGTCGATTGTAATCCTACATTTCTCGAGTACTGAGTCTGCGATCAATCATGCAATATTATCTCATGTTTCCCATCGTTTAGGTTGTCCTTGAAAATAATTACAGTCGAATACATGATGCGCCTCCACCTTAAACTGGCTATTGCCCAGAAAGAAAGAATACAACTAACATTAAAAGCCAGCAAAGTCTCACAGGGTATTTTAGGTTTTTGTTTGAGGCTTCCATTAGAGACAATAATAAATTCTTGTCTGTTTCTCAAAAAAGACCATGCCTGAACAGTTATGTTTCACATTGTATTTATCAGCAAATTATTCAGATAATGTAATCGTGCTCTATGACAGTATTGTTGACGTATTTCGATTTAGTTTGTTGTCCATGCTCCGTATAAAGTTGCAGATCCAATCCCATCATTTGTTTTTTGTTGTTGGGGCGGGGGAGTTTAGTTGTTTTATGGCACGGCTCGCTAGCGATATATAAAAAGAAAGTAATGAATAAAAAGCAGTTTTATGAGGCAGTTGTGCATGCAATAGTTTATCATCGCTTTGTAAACTGTTAACACACCATAACATTGTCGACTGCAACAAGGGAGGTGTTTATTTCATGCTATTATGGTCATGGGTAGGTTTTACAAACGATTGCTGAGAAGATCGCTGGGAATAATCGTTTCAGTAATGTTCCTGCATAATTACAGAGCAGTTTGAATCAACCCACCACCTGTCGCCCGTCGCTTGACCGCTTCCACCAAACATCAAGATGTAGCCCCCTGAGACCGCGATAACCTTATCTTTCACGCTACCCACATTTCAGTCAGTGGTCAGTGCCGACTATCTCAGAGGGCGGTCAGATAACATGGACGCACACACAGTCACACACACACACATACACACAACCATCTATACACACACTCACTTACACTGTCCTGACGACCATCCACATCTGCAAACAAATCAGATGTGAGAGTCAGGAAGGAATATTGATGCGACAAGTGAGTGTTGCAGACTGGGATACAATTACTTCTTCTCGGTGGAATGTCAGTAGAGTTTACCAGAGAAGGACATCTGTATTCTTTTTCTGCGCTCACTTTAAGTGTCTTTCCCATAACAGTGTCCCGGTTAATGAACTGTTTGGGATGCATCATTGTCTGGGCACACCCGGCACGGTTAGAGTTATACTATATACTGTGCATATCTTTTGATCATAAGATGCAAGAGAAAAATGCCAAATAAGTAATTCCTAATCCTGATAATCCTAATGATTGTCATCATCATCTGCATCGCGTTCGAAACCAGCATCATCATAATGGTCATTCGTGGTCGTCGTCATCATCACCATTGTTCTTGTATCTGCTTTGCTACTACTTCTACTAGCGCTGCTACTGTTAACACTCCTTCAATTACATCTGCTTCAATGTCTTATATCTGTTTCTTCCATATCTCAGTGTAGCGCGTATTCTCAGTCAACTCACACCTCAACACCCCACACCATTTCTCCTCTCCTTTGTGGTCAAGCCCCTGGCCTGAAGCTCTAAAAGCTCGTGGGTTTATTTCACAGATGTCACTCTCAACTTTCATCGCTGGGGCTAAAGAGTTCGTGTTTTGTGCGACGATCTCGGCAGCAGGGAAACTGTTGTGTGGAAATGAGCCAGCGGTATGGGCGGTTATAGGTACATTTATAAAAAAAAATTACACACTTACACGCACACATATATAATAATATTTATTGCATAAAGTCACATTTAAAGTTTAGAGAATCAACTTTACTGCACTAGTTTGTTCCCCTCACCGCTTGCTCATTTGTGTCAAAGAACTACCACCCTGACATCACACCACTGTACCTGTCAGGGTGCTATTACAGCTCCCTAAACATTGAAGCAAGTGGACCATTCCTTTTATGACTTTTTTTTTTTAGCTGGCAAAATGTTTATAATTCTAGTTAGACTCTGGATGGGTACAGCACCACTCTAATGAGTTTGCCAATGGCTTTGTTGGGCAGATTCTTCCTGAACTTTGCCCTCACTGCACCACCGTTACCATGGGGGCGGGTCACTTTACCCCAGATTACAAGCAGGCGGCTAGGCTTGTCGTGTCCTGGGCATGCAGTCAGTCTCATTGCCTTGTATACATAAGCACATCTCTTGCCCAGGTAAAACTCTGTCTCCCCATTGGTGATAACACCCTTAATCTTGAGAAGGGCTGTGTTTTCATGCCGGTTGCATGTCTTTGCTCGCATGCTCCATGCACGACACGGTTTGGAATGCGGGAGTAGACTTCGAGCCCAACGTGGCATATTACGGCACGACATGGTCTCTTTTTTCTGCTTAGTTTTCAATCTGCTGTAAACTCCAGCGGAAAGTTATAAGTTTTCGTCCACTTCTGGACTTTAGGCTTGTTCCAGAATATGAGTTATGTGTGTACAGTCCTTTTATATGTATCGTTTATTTGTGTGCAGTCGATTCCTTGCCTCTCAGAGAGATGTACTTAGTCCAACATCAAAAGAAAGGGCCCTACTTACTCCGTGTTAAGGACATGTTTAATGTTTGTTGGGAGAAACGGAGTAGCTCCATTTCCGCTTCCTCCTCCCAAATGGGGCCTCGGAAAGCACAAGAGAAATTTGGCACTACCATGATGAGGATGTTATGTTGCAACAGAGGTTTCATATCACTATACCTGCTCCTATAATCGTATGTTGTGAAAAGCCTGGAGTTTGCCAGCGTAAATAGACAGTGGCAAAATAATAAGGCAAACCGAACCCCCCACCCCCCCCCCCCCCCCCAAAAAAAAAGCATTAGGCAAACGTAGAACAGCAGTGTTGGGGAAAAAAAAGGGGAGTGGTGGTGGGTTAAAGCGACACATCCCATCACGGGTGTCATGTCTGAGCGGGTTACACATTGGAAGAAATAGGTGTTATTGAAATGTGGAAACAATAAATGTGGTAGAGGGACGGAAGGGTGACAGGACGTTTTCCTTACCCGGAACCACCTGACCTTGCTACGCCACTGCGCCTGTGATAAAACATTTACTTTTAAATGTCATTGTTGTATGTGTATTCTGCAGGTAATCTGGAGGAAAGCATCAGACCCGAATCCCTTGACAGTTGGGCGAGAGTCCTTCCACAACAACGACCGATTCCAGGTAGAGCATGAGACTGGAGAGGGCACCTGGAATCTGGTAATCCATCAGGCACGGTTGAGTGATGCCGGCGTTTATGAGTGCCAGGTTAGCTCCAAACTAAGGCATCTGAGGCAGCATGTACTTCTCACTGTCAAAGGTAAGCATCCCTGATCAGTGTCCGTAATGTATCCTAATGTCTGCACAGCTCATCGCCTGGTATAAACAGCAGACTAAGAGACAAAATATAATCAGCTACATCAGATCTATATGGTCTAGGGTGACCATAATATATCGAGTTGAACACAGGACATTCCACTAAAGTGTTGTGCTGAAAATGGGACATTCCAGTAACGTGTTAAGCTGGGGCCAAAAAAGGGATATTCAAAGCAAGTCAACTTAACCCCACCTCTGCTTTTCTCCCTGTCGCCGGGATGAAAGGGTTACATTACTCGATCGACAATGACATGTTAACACTAACCATCTTCACCAAAGAAATAAATAAAACAACGCGACCGCTTGGACATGCTTACAAACTGGAACTGTCCTGATAAAAAGAGGACGGATGGTCACTACTTTTGTCACATCTTGAGAAGGGGAACAGTGGACATCTTCCTGGTCATATTGTAAAGGAGACAGACAGCTGGGGGAAAACATGACCACAAAGATCATATGGCATTTACTATGAGAAACAATCATCGTATGGCAGGCTTCTTTCGAGTAGGAAAGTCTTTTCCACTGACTTGTATTTATGTCAACGGTGTCACAAATATTCATGTTAGTGCATTAGTATACAGTGAGAGCACGGTTCAGTATATTTAGCCCATTTTCCAGGGCTCTGTTGTCGGTAAAAAAAAAAAACGAATAGATCCTCTGCCTCTCCATCAATCATGTCGTAAGAGTCTACTAAGTGTCGATTTCCTTCAAAGTCGGAGTGCACATGTCTGAGTGGCAAGGAACCAAGAGTCTGCATACAGATAAGCCAAATCTAAAACCAATGTGCACGTAACACTCAGATGCTGGAACCATGACCAACAAGAACTCTCCGTCCGAGTTTACAGCTGGTGAGGAAGTTTTGCATAATCAGTGAATAAAAAACAATAACTTAGACGAGGTTTTACCCTATACAGGAATATAAATAATAGAACAAATAATCAAATGTTAGTATTCATGGGAAACACGTAACTCAACAAATAGACAGCGGGAATTCCTTGGATATAAGAAATCACCCCTAAACTGGTAGTCTTGGTGCTTTTGTCAATCTCCATTTCTAAAAATGTTAAACAAGAATAGAAATTCCCAACACAGCAAATCTCATTTTTCTGTCTTTCGTTTCAGAGAAAGAAACAAATACAACTCCGATGCCAAGACCAGGTAGGTCTTACACATACTGTTGTATGTTTTGTTGGTTGCTATCAGTGTGTACGGGAGATTTGTTGGATTTCTAGCGCTCGTTAATTTTAGCTGTATGCTATTTTATTAACTGCTATGCTCTTTTCTCTACACGATTTCTTGAAGCTTGTAATGTACATACAATTTACAAGACCAGAGGCGAAGGCACTAAGAAATCATAGGAGGGGGGGGGGCGGGCGGGGAGTGAGGATGCACTTATCTGGGTAGAGATTCGACATCACAGAATTTAGGACAAGCCCATAATAGCTCTGTCTTCCTCCTGAACAGACAGCGAGTTTCCATGATAAAACTGATGGTACCTTGCCAGTTGTCATCTAACTACTCGCCTTGCCTGCCCTCTGAGTCTCGCGTGACGTTTAGAGTCCACAGCCAATCCTCGCTGCCTCATTCTCACCAGGTACGGATTCGCTGTATCCTCCATTTCCCCTGTGACACAAATGGGGCCATTCAGCTAGCCTTTTCTCTTTTCATTCCTCAACACACCTGAATAGCGTGGACAAGTATTCATGTGAATTACACAGCTTGTGACCTCTGGATTGATTTAATCCATTCCTACGCAATAAGGTCATTTAGCCTTATTCAAGTATGTAATAATAATATAAATACTATTATATGCGGAACGACTACTGTAACATAATATTTGAAGTAAGGGCGTGTATAAACAAATACTTACAGATAACATCTATTATTGGTTGGTTGGGTGGGGGAGAGGGGGCACTCAACCAACTGGTACATTGTCTGGGATGAGGGGGATATGGAAGTGAAATTTGCAAAAAAAAAAAAAAAAGTGTGGGGGTTTCTGTGGTCGCTAAGCATTCCTACACATTATTTTGTGTGACGTTGAGCACAATGCCAGAGCTAAGGGTGTTTGCACGCCTGCTCAAAACTTCTAACTTCTAAAGCGCTTGGAAGCTCACAGCAACGAACTGTTGCTTATCCTGCGTTACTGCTGGTTTAATTTACAGTCTGTAAAACTGTTATCTCGCAGTAACAACTTGTGCTATACTTTTGTGCTATATCTTGGAAAAGGCCACGAGAACAGCACTCAAATCTATCAACATTATCATCATCATAAACCACTTCTAAAGTTAAGCGCAGTGGGGAGAAATAATTAGCGATCCCGTGCACGATGGCTGCCATTGGCTACTGTCATGCCGTAAAGGTATAAAGTGTCTTTAATGTTGTCTCTTCATGTTTTCCGCGGCCGTCGTCTTGTTCTTGTAGCTGATCTTGTGATATGCAGTGCTTGTGATAGTATTTGATCTTTTTGTATTTTAACGAGATGACCAAATCTTTTGATCTGCTGAATGTCAAAGAATCTAGTACAAGGTGTTGTTCTCACAACTTGTCTGACAGTTTCATTATTCACTCTATCTTTGATGGTTAGTTGACTGCTTTTATCAGGCACCTCATCTCGCAGATTTTGAGTATATGGGCTTTTTATAGTGTCCATGTTTGGCACTGATAGCTTAATGTTGGATTGAATACGCTGTTTATAATCTGTCTCTTTGCACACATAGTTAGGCTTGGATGTTTTAATAATGGTGACAGTTGGTACATAAGTGAACTTACTTTCTGACATCTGGTTTCTTTTTCTCTGTCAATTCCGTGATCATACTTCCTAGATATTTAAACCCCTTCACCTGATTCATACCAGAACCATTCAGATGTAGGTGTAGTTGGCCAGTGGTTCTAGTAAGCTGCATTTTTTCTGTTTTGTTTGCATTGATCTTCATGTTATATTTACTGGATGCTGAGTTTAACCTGTCAATGTGGTCTTGCAGTCTATCTTCTTCAGATTAGAACAAGCACTTGTCGTCTGCAAATATTAGTTCGTTTAATGTGGGTTAATTGATTACATCTTCTGATATGTGTACTTACCTCCTCATGATTTTAGAGATCTGTATTGTCTGTATGAGAACTTGCTTCTTCAGATTTTCTGTCTATATAAATGTTAAATAACAGTGGGGAGAGCGCACATCCCTGACTCACACTCAAACCTTTAGCCTGGGAAATTATCAGATATGGTTACCTCACAGACATCGGATGTAATAGCAGCTGCATTTGGGCTGCTGTCATCCACTAGTTGAAAGAAGTACACCCGCCAAAAAGGTTATGGTTTAACACGTAGGCTTTTCGTGAAAATAGACGAGGTATACATTACAGGAGTCACAGCCAGACTGAATAGATAACTATTTCAGTGGAACCTCGCTTAACGAGCATAATTATTTCCAGAATCATACGCGTTAAGCGAAACACTCGTTATGCGAAACAATTTTGCTCATATAAATTAATGTAAAATACGATAATGCGTTCCATGTCGAAAAAAAAAATACTCACACAATGCTATGTATACCGTTTATTCAAAGAATACTATATACACATTGTAAAGGAGAGTGAATCATCTTCATCTTTTCTTCCACCGCGGAACAAACCCATCTGGAATGCGAATTCAATTTGCAGAAAAAAGAAAATTGAAATAATTATGAAACATATCTAATTATTTTTTTTTTTTACTTGAAAGATGTCCAGAGACATTTGCTTTTACCGACGCTTCAAAATTTGGCGAAAATGTGACACAACATTATCATTTAATAAATTTGCAGCGCTCATAGCCACTTCCTTATTAGGGTGATGCTTCTCAATGTAAGATGCAACAGTTTCCCATGCTTTCAAAATTTCTCTTGTTTCGCCAGAAGATTGTTACTTTTCTGTTACCTCCTCCTCCTCTGACAAACTTTCCTCAAAAACTTCTTGCTGTGAAACACAATTCAACTCCATAAGCTCTTCGGTGGTCAGCTCCTGGCTGTGCTCTTCCACAAGCTCTTCGATATCACTGTTATCCACCTACAATCCCATGATAGTGACCAAAGACACAATCTCCTTGACTACAGGTTCCACAGGCACTTTCTCCAACCCCTCAATGTCACAAATAGACAACGCTCTCCGGCCAAAGCTTCTTCCAAACAGAAGTTATGGTTCTCTTGGTAACCCATTTCCCCGCCTTGTCGATCATCTTGAGACAGGCAACGATGTGGAAGTGATTTTTCCAAAACTCTTTGAGAGTGAGGTTGGTCCCATAAGTCACCTGAAAACAATGCTCGAAGAGTGCTTTAGTATAGAGCTTCTTAAAGTTAGAATTGACTTGCTGGTCCATGGGCTGGAGTAGCCGAGTGGTGTTGGGAGGCAGAAACTGGATCTTGATGAACTTAAATTCTTCAGGGAGGTCATCTTGTAGGCCTGAAGGATTCATGCACATATATCACAAAGAACATAAGTTTAAGAAAATGTGTGATCACAAGCGACACTACTATGCTACTGGAACAATTGCTAAACACAGACTGATGTAACATGCGCACAATCCAGGACTTCCCCTCTCCTCGCCACTCGTTATTCGAAACGTCGCTAGTTAAGCAAGTCATTCCTTTACAATTTGTTTTGCTCGGTATGCGAATTACTCGTTATGAGAGGTGCTTGTTAAGCGAGGTTCTTCTGTATTTTGTAAAAACTGCTGCAATTGCATCAAAATACCTGCATAAGCGATAAACTATAATCTCCTGTACCTTAGAAAGGGATACAAACACACTACACGAAGTCTGGCAACTATTAATGATGAAGATGTGTGCATTCACAAATATTATCTTTTCCACGTATGCGTTTTGGGGCTTATTATGGGGTGGGGTATGTATGTGTGAAAAGAGGGGGGGAGTGGTAATAAAAGAACAGCTGCGCCCTGAAAATCATGTCGTGAAAGACCACTAATTATGGGTTTGTTGAAATTGTATATGTAATGTGGTAAGGCACAAATATCACAACCTAGCTGTAAACCACAATATAACATGTCAACCGTTTTTTCAAGCGCGTACGCAGAAGAAGAAGAAGAAGAAGAAGAAGAAGAAGAAGAAGAAGAAGAAGAAGAAGAAGAAGAAGAAGAAGAAGAAGAAGAAGAAAAAGAAAAAGAAAAAGAAGAAGAAGAAGAAGAAGAAGAAGAAGAAGAAAAAGAAGAAGAAGAAGAAGAAGAAGAAGAAAAAGAAGGAGGAGGAAGAGGAGGAGTAGGAGGAAGAGACTGAGAAGGCTTTTTGAAATGCCTATTGCGTGTATTTATGTAAGTAATTTGTACCCCACCAGGACATCACGCAAGCGATAAACATCCGGTGACACAAAGTGCCACCATGCGAATGAGGATCACCCGTGGAGAGGTTCCTGAAATCCCGTTCAACCGTGAGGCCATATTTCAGACCCTGCTATATCTAGGGCCTCCGGCAATAGCCAGTGTGGGGCATCAAAACAGTTAAAAATTACATCTCACAAAGGCATGACGAGATATTTCGGATAGCGTGCCCCTTACAGATAACGCGTTGTTCGGATTTTAATTGCAAATATAATAACATTGAAGTGGTAACTGGGAAGAGGAAATGCAACCTGAAATTGTATAGTTTGTGCAGAGCACAGTAGACTCATAGACGGCTGGCAACTGCTATAAGAGGAAAACTGCAGCAGGCGGAGAGAGAGAGAGAGAGAGAGAGAGAGAGAGAGAGAGAGAGAGAGCGAGAGAGAGAGCGACAGAGAGAGAGAGAGAGCGAGAGAGAGACATAGAGAGCGAAAGAGAGAGAGAAAGAGAGAGAGAGAGAGAGAGAGAGAGAGAGAGAGAGAGAGAGAGAGAGAGAGAGATTCTGGCAGATTCGTTCCAAGCGTTCTTTTGGTCACTTTTCAAAAGGCGACACGTGGGCAGACCTCTGAAGACAAATCATGCTTCTTTATTGTGCTGATCAGGCGTTGAGCTACAGATTTTCTTAACGCGAACGGGTCTGGCTAGTCCCACTCACTATTGCCATGGCCAGTGATTTTGATACTTTTATATATGGCACAGTGGTTAATAACATTTTTTTTTTAGTGTTTACATGTAATGTCGGCGTCTATAGCTCAGGCGTTTCGAACGCTCTTTGTAATGCTGGGGTGCC